AGCGGAGGGGCGGCGCGGCGGAAGGGGCGGTGCGATATGAAGACAAACGCCCGCACGCGACCGCCTCCTCCGAGTACCTCGAGCCCCCCGGCGGCCTCTGGCGTGCCACCACCGCCAGGGAAAAATACATAATAATGTTTGCCCAAAACGAAACGCTCGGCATCGGCCGCTCCGGCTCGGGTGGAGGCGGCGGCACGAAACGGTAGACTCCTCGCGTGGGCGAAGGGCGGGGCAGGGCGGGGCCATGGCATGCTCGGGCGGGGCAGCGGGGCAGCGCCAAGACACGTGAGAGTGGGGCGGATGCACGCGGAGTGTGATGGTAATATTTAGCCGTGCGCCGTGCGCGCGTGTAAGTGTGCACCCTCGGTACCTCCTGCGTACCGCCGGCCGCGCCGCGCTCCGCCCCACCCAGTCGCGCATCGCGTGAGGCCTAAACTTCCAAGAGCCGCCCTCTTACCTCCCAGTTGGCGCAACTAGGCTGCTCCGAAATAGACGGCGCAAAATGGATGCGAGGCGTGGGTGGCTTGCGTTGTGGCTAGCTAGACGACCTTTAGATTGAGGTTCAGCGGCTCCAGGTGCGGCTCAAGGTCCGGCTCAAGGCCCATCGCTCACGACGAGGCCTGACGCCCATCTCAAAGGGAAGCCTAAGTAAACGGCTGCAACACCCACTCAGCCATCAGGACCTCCACGTTCGGGCCGGGGCCGGGCGGGGCCGGGGCTCCCTCAGGGTACTTCCCTACTTACCCCGCCCGCCCGGGCTGTGCGTCGCCGCTGCTCGCTGCCGCCCTGTCCATGGCCCTGCCGACGCGACGAGCGGCGACAAGGCCTTCGCCTACACTCGAGGCAACACACCCCCCTATCACGCCGTGCGTGGCCTCCCCGTTAAGAGGAGCCCGCCGCCCCACCCCGCCTGCACCGCTCTCTCCCCTGACGGCACTGACGGAGCGCCTCGCTGTCTGGATTCTTGCCCAAGATACGGGTCGCTCAATTTCCGTTGTTTGAGTTGGCAGAGAGCTGCAGAGCGCGGCATGCGAGAATGCCATCAATCTAATCACGGGCGCCGAGAGAAGAGGGAGGGGAAGGGTGGTACCGGCCCGCGGGGCATTGAGACGTGTACTTACAAGCCGAGCTGGGTCGGTATATCCCTGGGCGAGTGCGCGGGCGGCAGAGAGGACGTAAGACCGTGAAAGGGTCCGACAAGGCCCTCTCTGGCAGTCGCAAGGTACAGACCCGGCAAAGGCCACTTGGTGGTGGTCGCGTGGGCTGGGCTGGCAGCTAAACGGCCTGACCTGCGCGGACACTCGAGCAACAAGTCCGGGCGGGGCTGGCGGGGGCGGGGTGACACATTACCCCGGCGGCAGACCGACTGCCTCGCCCCGCCCCGCCCGCAGCCGTCCGGCACGCAGTAGCTAGCGCAGCGCCCCACGCAGAACAAACCAAATTGTCGGTAATCACGGTGATCGTGCCGCGGCCCGGCCGGGGAGGCTGACCCAACAGGAGAGGGGTTTCATGGGAAGGGGATTTAATTTGGGCCGGGGAACGAACACGGCTGATAAGCATCGGAGTACTGTTTGGCAGGAAGTGCGCAGAGGCCCCATTCCGCCCCACCTCGGCCTCGGCCGGCCTCGTCCCGCACCGTGCACGCGCTGGCCACCGCGGCCCAGCCTCATGTCTTCCCTTGGCTGATATAGTTGTTTCACGAAATTCTGACACACCGACACGCAAAGGAATGGGAGACAATCGCCCCCTCCTTCTTTGATGACGTCCTAAGCAATATGGTTACACTCATTATAAGGGTCGGATCCCTGGGCTTGCCAAGCCATACTGCACACCTCCCCGCCAGAGACGCGAAGGCGTTGGCTGTTGGCAGCTGTACCACTGGGCCCGGCATGACGCTTAACAACGAGTCCTGGAGTCCAAAGGCGTCCAAAGGCCTGCCGATGTGTCAGAATTTCGTGAACCAACTATGCCTGATACGCGATTGAGCCCCATGCGGTATCCAAGAAAGATATTACTACTTACTTCTAGTCCATCCTGCCTGGACCTCCCCAGCAGGGACAGCGCGCCACGGCCATGTATGTGGAAACGGTGGACGATAGAGGTAGTTGTGTACTCCAATAATAATTGCCTGTACAGAATGTATTGCTGCCCAGACATCATCCAAACGACGCTCGAATTGAGATTAAGAGTACTCCAAGGTTCTTCTCCGCTTCATTTAGATGCACCCAGCTTTTTTCCTTGTGACTGCTCATGCCTGCTGAACCAGCAATCGGAGTCATCCTGCTGGATAGGTAAAGTAATACATAAAACACATTATCTTCTGTTTTGTAGAAAGAGCTTCTTTATTTGGGAAACTTTTGAGATCCCAATATATAGATATATTATTTACAAATGCTACAACATTAAATGCACACTACTATACAGCACAGAGAACTACAGTTTTTTTATCCAACACTATGATGGTGACCTTCCCCTTTTCATACAATTAAGTTAATTATAAAACAACACAAATTCTACTTACAAAATCTAGTTTATTCCATTCCACCATTTCTTTTATAGGCAGGGTATCACAGAGGGATAAGGTAAGGGGAAAATGCAATACAGTCAATACAATGTACTTTATGTTCTACACACAATAACTACATCTATGAATCAAATAGAATGATAGTACAAAAAAAAACTGTCTGGAATGCACACATGAGTGGCCCCATTTGTTCAGACACCATGGCACATATACATTGACACACAAAGCATAATTTATAACAGCATAATTTGAAGAGTTGTATTTACAGAAATGAGGCGTGGAACAGGAGAACACTTTACATGGCATATTTAATTATTCAAGAGAATTATCTCTCAGAAGAACAGCAGGTTTGAGAAGCCTGTTGCACATACTTTTATAGAACTTATGTGATGCAAAAAATATACACAAGTTTAATTGCTAAGATTGATAAAACAACCAAAATGTTTCAAAATCATTGGATGTAAAACTTTCACAATGTTCTCTTGATAAAAGCAAATGAGTGACTGCACATACAAATCATCTGGATCAATTTTTTTATGAAGGAAAGGGTTAGAACCAGTCAATAATTGAGGGATAAAACAATGCAAAGTTATTGGCAAACCAAAAGAAGCAGCAAAAGGGGATGACTCCTTTCCCCAGTCAGCAGAAAAACACATCACAAATATTTGTCATATGTTATCCAAGAATTTATGAACATGGATGCACCAATTAAATGGAAACATTCACTTTGCAACATAAAGACTAGAGAAAATATAAGATTTCTTTTTGTGAATGTAGTTTATGAGCGAGGCCCCTGCCATTGGCTAACACCCAAATAACCACAAACAAAATGGCGAATTCTAGTAACCAGAAAATAACAAATTTATTATCTAAGTGAAACTGAAAAGGAATTGGCCTGTGACTGCTGAGCAATTGAGTGAAATACACATTCACAGTCTTAATTTTTGTACCATACCAAATGCAGTCCTTTTCATCAATGAAGAAATGGATGTAATTATCCATAAAGACAAGCCATAGGCTCAAAAGCTATAAGCAGAAATGTATACAGCACAGGTAAGCACAATAAATTGACACTTTGAATGAGTTATGATTTCTCTTTTTTAACAAATAGATGTAGACAAAGGGTATACAAACAAGATAACATTTAAGCTTTTCCCTAAATAAGTGATATGTACAGTTTTATTATAAAACTAAACCAATAAAATAGACTTTGAAATTCATCACAGAGGTCTGTAGATGGTCTATACAGTACACCAGGTCATGCTTTACAATATACAATACATACATTAAATATGGGTATAAACCTTGTGTGCTGTATAGAAAATCTGCAGAAAACTCTTTAAATTCAATCACAATGCTTGACTTTTAAGTCACTTCCTCTAAATGAAAAGTAAACTGAAGAAAAAGCAGAAGAAAAATTACAAGCCAGTCAGTCTGCAGAGTGTACAAAAAATAATAATAACAATAGAGGAAAGAAATAGATAAGAACTCAGTTTCTACAGTCATAGAGGGATGACTTTCCACTTAGAAGTTGTTTTCACATTGCCTGTAGTGGAAAAAAGGGTCTGAATTAAAAAGATGCACATATTAAGTTGAAATTGGCCAAACAAAAAATAATACGAAAACAAACAAAAGATATCAAAAAGGAAGAAAATTCATTTACACAAGAGTTTTGGAACTCTTTACTCTATGTAAAAAGATAATTATTAAATTCCTCAGGACCAATAGAAAGCCTGTGTGAATTTGAACCAAAAATACATTGTTGTGTAGCAATAACACAATAACTTCTCATTTCTTCCTCTTTCTATCTAAAATGAATTCTTGTTTGAGCATTAAATAATTAATTAGATTAAATCACTAACACACATCAGATATCATGACAGGTGATAAACCTGTGCCATTACTAACAGATTTGAAAGATTGTAAAGAATTAGCAGTTAGAATATGATAAAATGGGTATAGGATTACAGTAACAATGAATGGTAAGAAAATACCAGCTAAGGAAAAATTGATACTGCATCATGACCAGACCAAGCCAAGAATATGCACAAACACAACATACCTAAAATGCACCCAAACAACCATCATTAGTTAGAAGTAGTTTCATCATCTGTATCTTAATTCATCATTGCTTATAATAGAGTATTGGGAAAAGTTTGTTTCTAAAATCAACAATAAAATAGTACACAATAACATTGAAAGAATAATTAGATCAGAAACAATGAAGTTTCCAGAAAATACAGATAAAATTTCACAAAACAGTTTGTAGTAAAAAAGAAACATAATTGTCAGAAGCACAGAACTCAAGCCAATGATCAGCAAACCACTGTATCATCCTAGTTTACAGATGAATTTAAAAACAAAAAAAAGGGGGGTATAGAATGATGGCAAAGTTATACAAGCATGGATTTTAGCCATGAAACCACATAATGCAATTCCCTTATTCTTTGGTCTCATCTACTTAATTCGCCAAGACACCAAAACTTTTCTTTGTTGAACTTGTAAGAAAAGCAAGTGATGATAAATGGCAATTAGAAATGATGCACAAAAGTGGACACTGAACAAAAAAGTGCTAAATATTTACAAAACTTTTAAACGTTATGCTCTTTCAGCACAAGAAGTTAGATATTCACAGTGCAAAGCAGTGGCTCCAGCCCCAGCCACTACTGAAAGTTTTAGATATTTACTTTAAGACTGAATGTCACTGAGATTTGCGTCTTTCAAAAAACATTAGAAAATTCTCTAAAACTTGGCTTGAACATATAAAAATCTAAAACTAGCCTGATACGAAACAAATTAACAATTAGATCACAAAATTTATTTTTTCATATTTTTTCACCCACAACTTGTTAGAGCACTATAGACAACATATACAAATATGGACAAATATGCACAATAAACATGAAATAAATTACAAACAAGTTAATCTTAGGACTGAAAAATGTATCGTTCTTTTAATTGAATAACAAGCAACAAACTCTACAACCACATTACTAGGTGGAATTCGATAGTCATAACAATAACAGAACCCCATGGTAGTTAGTTGCCCTTCCATTTTCATGCCACAACTTAAGTCTACAAAGAGTCACAAAGTCTTAATTTTAACAAATGTACCTACGGTTATCACATTCAACCAGAACAATCAACCAACACTTAGATAGAAAATCACTCAAAATAACAACATAACTTGCAATCAAGCATCAGGTTTTTGTCTTTGTCTCAAGCATGCCCAAGATTTCACGTACAGTCATTTCTAGCTGTTCTAACCAAAATAAGGGTGTCTTTTCCTTTGCCCCTTCCACTGAACCACCAGCACCACAACTACTGCTGCTAGAACTCTCACAATTGGTGAGAGGTTCTTTACTACTGGTAGGGTCAGCACTTACATCCTTTTCACTTTCTTCCGCTTTTTCAGGGGATTCTTCACCACCACTTATCTTCCTTCTCTTTGATGGGGGATCTGAAAATTACAGTTTGGGTAAGTGACTGCCTGAACACAACAGAAGGTAAATCAATCTTTTAAAGTATTCCCACTTACCACCAGTTTTATTATTATCGTCCGTAGAAACAGACTCCTTGGCAGACATAATTTTTTTAAGAAGAAGTGAGAGAGTAGTTGTCAAAGGAGCAGATTGAGATGCATTTGTGTTTGGGGGCTGAGGAGCAACACGCTGAACCAATAATAATGCACGCAAGTCACCGTTTAACCTAGCTGCATCCGACACTACGTCCACATTGCCCACCAATTCATGTAACTTTCCTGGAATGCTTTGAAGAACTCGAAGGGTTTGATCATTTAGCACCTGCTTGCAAACCTGAGATGAGAAAAATATAACAATGTCATTATGGATAACAGGTCTAGATAGATAGATAGACGAAAAGAGTGCTAAAAATGTCCCTACCTTGGGAAAGTAAGTGGATAAGAAGTTAAAAATAACAGGAATGTTAAGAGAACTTCTCTCATCCAAGAGGACAGCTTCAACATAATCCACAAAGTAGTTTGAATTTACAAGTTTAACAATATATTTGCGGTCCACATTCTGCAAAAAAACATATCAATGTAGCAAAAGGACAAACATGTAAAAAAGGAGCTACATCAAAATAGTTTGCTCACAACTTAAGCTAAAGAGTAACAATAAAAAATTCTTACTTGAGAATGATATATGTCAAGCCACAGTTTGGGAAAGCGTGTAAAGTGTAGAGGAACAGCTTCAAACCCAACCATAGCACTGAGAATGACTAACTGATCGGTCATGCATCCTGATGCAACAGCTATACGGCATAATGTGTCCAGAAAATCATGATATGGTCCAAAATAATCTTCCAATGCCTGATCATAAGTAGGATCCATACCCTAAAACACAAGATAAAGATATAGAACCAAACATCTAAATTAAAGTACAAAAACATAGAAAATGACCCAACAGCAGACCTTTGCAGGTTCCAATTGATTGTGTGGCACCGACATCTGTACCATTGGTCGAACTGGACGAGAGGAGGCCTTCATGCCCAACGTGGCCTGTTTGCCACCACTACGAGGAAAGAAGGGTCCCATGGGTACAGGGTTATGATTTTCTTGGACAGCTGTATGACAATGAAGAAGTAAAGGAGCAACTACTTGTGTCACTTCATTTGGTATGAGTGCTGCCATCTGAGCCAATAAATCTAGAAAGAGAAAAAACAATGTTTGATTTTTTTTTAAAGTCAGTGACACAAACATTATAGAGGGTCAAAAAAAGACAAACCTAAGCTTAGTTTTCGCATTTCATCAGAGTTGTATGAATTCAAAAGTGTGGCAAGTTTACGCAACATGTCCATCCATTCTTTACAACTTAAAATGAGCTGAGCAGGAGATTGAGTATCCACTTCTTGGTCACTTCTGCCAGCAGCTACTTGATCCAGTCTTTGATCTCGAGACATTTGAAGACACTTCAGTAGTTCAAGAAGAGCAGTCAACAGTTCTAACAAATCACCTGACACATGACAAGCTGTAGCCTCATGGTACATCACATGGAGTGTGTGAAAAGCCTAGAAAATATGATTAGTTTTAATTAGATTGGCCACATTCAATTTGAAGTCTTAGAAAGTATTTAAAATATTAAGCTACCTCAAAGAACATCTGAAGTCCACCATTGTGGATGATAGTCAGCCGGTCTTCATCATTCTCAACAAGTATTTTATAAGCTTGAATGAGAGTGGCCCACATTGATCGTCCATCTAATATCTGTGAAAAAGAACAAAGGTATAGAAAAGCTGCAGTTCTAAATTTCATTGATTATTCATTCATTGGCAGGTATGTGAATGCTATGGTATGGAATAGATAGGGAAATAAATACAGCACTACTAACCTGCAAGTAAAGCTGCATTGTATGTTTACGGAATGTATTGATTTCATGGATGTCTTGTTCTGTGCTATCAGCATGTTTCATGACAAAGAGTTCCATCAGCTTAAAAAGTTCTTCAACAGCCTGGAACCAAGCATATATTGATAAGAAACTATAAGCTAAGGTCTGACTTAATAACACACATTAAGATACCAAAAGGAAATTACAACAGAACCAGGCATTAGTGTTCAATTAAAGATGAATACAATAACATACCAAGGTGTACTGAGTTGGGTGTGGTGTGATATTCTTCAGAGCCCAATTCACATTTTGATGAGCTGCTAACTGACGAGTGAATGATCGTGATTGTAAGCAACATAGTTTTAAAAGACCATAATAGGCTGGTAACATAGTACGGTTGAATAAAACCACTTCCTGATCATCATGGTCAGCTCTAACAAAATAAGATAAAAATTAACCATCTGATTTCATTTTGAATAAAATACAGACAAACAAAAAGAACATGAGTAAAAATAACTTACAAAATGTAGTTGAAGGCAATGTTTTTTAAGATTGAAGGATTGTTTAAAATAGACTGAACATTTTCCGGACATCCTTCACATACGTGATGCCAAAAGAGTAACAATGCTTGTTTGTTGTGGTGTATTGGGACAGCTGGCTCGGAAAGTTTGGGGTGGAATAAGTTCCACAAATCCATAAAATATGGTTGTAGCTAAAATGAAAACAACATGCAGCTTAGATAGAAACAAAACAAACTGATTATCATATCAATAGTTTAACATGTTGCACTTGGCTTACCATGAGTTTTTCAGTGTTGGTCATACAACAGTATGAGAGCAATGAGAAATATGCAGTCAATTTATTAGTCCCATGAGTTCCCACATCAGCATAATGCCGACTAGGTTTCAGGAGACGGTATAAAACACTAGTAACTTTGTGTAAAACAGCCAAGGCTTCAGGAGAATTTATGATTTCTTTGTAATGGCTGGGCATGGGACGTGCTGTGCGAAATCCTTGACGGAAAGTTTGGCTTGGAATTAATGATGCCAACAGATAAGCAGCAGCTAAGATACAAAAAAATTAATTTACATTAGATTATATGGTGGTGAAAATACACAAATCAAAATTCCATCAGTAGAATCTAAACTTACCAGAGCGGACCCGCTGGTTGTTATGACCAACAAGAAAATGTTCTACCCAAGTGTCTAAGCCCTGCAAGACCCACGTGTGCACAAGTTTATTACGAGGAACTTGGGCAGAGAGCCACTCAAGGGTAGCCTGAGGACAATACTCTGCTACATCCCAAATACGAGCCAAGACTAACTGTGAGAAGCATGGTAATCCACTAGGTGTACCACTTGTTTCTACCAATAATGTTAGTATTTTGAAAAATGGCTGACAAATCTGAAATTATGTTTACAAGTTAGAACATTGACTATCCACAGGTAAAATACATAGATCCTAGGTAAGTACCCTGGTAGATTAGCAATAAAATCTGAAACAAAGAGATACCCACTTACCTCTGAGTGCTTCATTATTGCTTGGAAAATCATACCCACAATGTGTTGGGCCAGTCTGTCATTCCAACGGCACAATGAATGGACAAGATTTTTTGTTTGTTGGAGGTTGATACAATCTTTAATTTGCTGATAGAGAAATGGGAATCCTTTCCCACCAGCAAAAGCATTGAAGTCGAGAGTGGACAGTTGTAAATTTCGGTCCAGCCCTCGTGATTTTTCCACCAGCATGGCGACAAGTGTAATCATTTTTTCCAAAGAAGCAGGTTTATACTTGTCCGTTGGAAGAGGAGTAACATCTTCATCATCTTCTTCCTCACTAACAACTTCCACCTAACCAGAGAAATAGATTTATAAACCATGACTGCTGAAATATACAATACTGGGAGTGTTCATCAAAACTAATAATGGAATTTTACATACATATTCATGGCTCTTCTGTCCAAGATAGAAATTAACCATAGTTGAGATGGCATGAATTGATATCAGAAATTGGCACTCTTCTTCACCCATTTTACTGAACTCAAGCAGCAAAGCAAAATATTCTGTGAGATGTTTTAAGTGGGTCTTTGCTCCATGCTCCATCAAAGAAAGGAGCATGCGAATAAACTTTGTAACACAAGACAGATAACCAATTTTATCTGGATCAATTTCTTCTGATCCGTCATCATCTGAATCCATTTTTAAGTATAAAGGAGCATGGATAGGCCTGTGGGGAAGAAAGATACGTCCATTAAATATCTACTCATCAAAAGTTCCATGTCATTAGACAGTCTATGGAAATGAATGGTGATAGATAAATACAAACCTAAGTTGGGATATGACATGTATGCTGAGTCTTTGAAACATTTGTCGAACCATCTGATTCGGACATTTTATGAGAATTTGAACAGGCCACCAGTCATTGTGAGCTACATGTTCTAAAAACCATTCACATGCAGCTTGCGATGCATTGAATTGTTTTGTGAGGAGTTCTACCCATTGAACCATGGTTGGCTGCAAAAAAAAGGAGTTAAGAGGCAAGATATGATAAAATTAACAATTACAAACATAGTAACATTGATTAGGTCTATCAAAGACTATTTTAATACCTTTTCTTTGGCATGAATAAATGTTTCTAAGAAAAAAGTTGTAGAAAGCTGAGCTGCCATTTCTGTTATGTCAGGCTGAAGGCTGAGAAGAGTTTGCGGGATGTAACCACAAATCTGCCACATAAAACTAAAACAAGGGGAAAAGTTACATTCAGGTTAAAGAAAATAAGTATGTACGTGCAAGTTTTCATCAACGCCAAGTAATCATTTTTTATCCAACCTAAGATAGTTAAAGGAGCCTGCCACCAGATAGCTATGCCTATGCTATAGGCGCTGCTCAACCAATGTCTTACTGACAACTGTAACTTAAGATAAAAGAAATGTAAATTTCACTTACTTAAAGTAATTGTGCTCAAATATATTCTTGTCCCTCAAAAAATGCATGTTATCTTGCCAGATCCAATCTTCCAACTCTTTGTTCAGTTCAAAAGATGGTGGACTTGATGTTTGTGAGGGAGGAGGGCTTTGATTGATCTGAGATGATGTTTCTGCAAAGTCAGCATCAACTTCTTTTGAGCTACATTGTTCTCCCTCAGGTGAACTACACCTTTCATAGAACAACATGTAGGCACTATTTGTTTTTTCAAAACTGAAGTCCATAAATTTGTCTGTCACTGAATCATATGTCTTACTCTGAAGTAAAGAAAAACAAATTATTCAAATTATTATAGTAACATATTCTTAAGACAATGCTGTAACATTTTTCAAATAAGAACTTGAACAAAGAATATGATTTTTACCGTCATTTCACCACCAAAGCATTCTGAAGCAAGTTGATTTGGATCAAAGGGTTTCACCTCTGCATCATTGAAGAAAAACCATTTATCTTTGTTTGGTGTAGTGCGATCTCTGATAAAGCTATAATAATGCCCACCATCAGCTGTCCCAGTGTGCACAGTGACACCAATCAGATCATAATCATAACTGTACAGAAATATTACGATTATGATAGGTTGAGTGAAGCATTTCAACAAAAACAAAGACTGAACACAACATTCAACTACTCACCGTTCATTGAACTCTTCTGCATCGGAAGCGCAATCTTCTGCCTTTTCAGTTACATCAGGCTGCAGGACTTCACTAGCAGCTAATTCTATTTTTCGCTGTTTAGCCCTTTTTTTCTCTTCTTGATAAAAAAACATTCCAAAAATAAGGTAACTAACTTGGATAAAAACCAAAACCAGTATTGCAAAGCATATAGAGCTCAAAACAACTTACCTTGATATCTATGAGGCATTAGTTTCTGTTCAACATAACCAGACATATCTAGTCTCATTGGAAATGAAAAATGTGTATTGACTTTTTCTTTGAGCATCGTCACCATGTTGAAAGTGTATCTCATGGTGTTGAAGCAAAGGATATGGGGAAGTTTCTTAAAGCAGGCCCTGATAGAGAATATCCAAAGTTAGTACATCAATCATTGAGTAAACTTTTCAATTCATAAATTATCATGAATTTCGTAAATTATCACCTTTTTTCTGCACGGACTTTCTTTCCACACTGAGAACAAGTATACATGTTATCCCCTTCAAGAGTATCTTTTACAGTAACTTCATCAAGAGATTCATAGAGATTACGCATATCAGCCACCTGACACCTTACAGTGTAGAATTCCTCTAGAGTTCTGCTCACATGATCACAGTCCTACAAAGAGTGTAATAAAAGATGAGATTTGCAAGATTCTAGTACATATGTAATATTTTTCACAATTTAATACTAACCAAAGATACAACATTGTTGCTGATGACACCACCAAAGAGGGACTTTACTAGTTTCTTGAGTTCAGGAGTCATTTCTTCAAGCTTTGAAACTAAATCAATGAAAAACTCAGCCATGTCCTTCTGTTCACCAGTGTTGAGTGGTTGGTGATCCATAGTGTATACCTTACAAAAGCTTCGTGGATTGTACGCTTTGCGCTCACTTTCCTGTTTTGGATAAAATAAATGTTAAAGATTAGAAACACAATACCATTCTATTTTGAGTAAAAAACTGTGTCAAGGTAGAAAACTTGCCAAGAGATATGCAAACATGCGCTGCAATTCACGAAGAGTCTGCTCATGTTTGCTGTCTGTTGGTACGGCACCAAGAATAGAAGTCCTGGCTTGAGGCATCATATATAGATGTTGCATGCATGAGGCCATATAGCATGTAGCTCCAAGATTAGTGAGCCCAACATAACCACAGTCAGACCGACCATCTTCATGAGGCCAGTAATCCCAAGGATATGGTGAGTGGGGGCCTGAAAGAAGTCAGAGATCAATAATCACATGTGGCATTGAACAATAAAACATGGATTAGAATTCATCTTAGATAAGAAAGTTACCTGGTTTGTGTTGCTCAAGAAGTTTTTCATGTAAAATGCGGTAATTGTCAGGTGAACCACGTACAAGTTCCACAAGGAGATCATAAGCAGCTGAGCGAGATGCTTGCGACTTACATTTAGGCACATATCTTTTTCTTGGATTTGGTAAAGCAAAGAGAAATTCAAAAACCTGTTGAGGAAAGCGTAATTGAAAATCATAATTTCTACAACAATTTTAAACCAAATCTTTAAGAAGAAAGCTACTTTACCTCAGACAAAAATTCTTGTCCCTCTTTGCTTGAGGACAAAGGTGGTCTGTGCTTAAAGGTCACAGTAGCTAGATTAAGCAGACCCACCAAACCGTCATCTTCTATAGTATTATGTCTAGTTTCAAGGAAATCTCGCCTCAGCACTGCCAGGACTAACTGTCTGGCTAATTTATCGATACCAAGTATGCAATTATTCGGATCTTCAATGCTCTCTGAAGGAAAGGAAAAAGTATTAATGGTAATTCAAAAAATAATAAAAAGAGAAACACTAAATTCACAAAAACAAGTACATACCTCGCACAAATTCATCAGGTAGACTATCAACAAGCCGGCACATGAGCCAAAAATAATCTCGGCAAGCTGGACCATATGGTTCTTTTCCATCTTCTGTATGATGGAGATTCTAAAAACACAGAATAGTGAGTTAGAGATAGTACATGGCAGCAATCCTCAATTGAAATTCGATTACTTACTTCTAATCGAGGTGGCCGCATACTCTCTGCAATTGGCAGAAATTGTAATAACTGAGCCAGCATTGGCGCACTGATTGTTGGTGAGGGTGGATTTGCCACAGGCCCTACTGGTGTTCCTAGACAAAGCCTGTACAATGCTGTACAAACCTCTCTTCTTACAGCAGGCTCTGGATCTTCAAGGACTAGCCTTTGAAGCCAGTTGGCAAAATTACTCTGTTGAAACAATGCCTGTCTTGCTCCATCCTCCGAATGCACCCAAGACACTAACAAGGCCATTGCATAATGCACAACTTGAGCTCTTCCCCAGAAACCAGTCTTATAGTGATTTGGATCTCTAGGAAGGGAAGCTTCATGGAGGATCGTCGTTAAGCGGAGCATGACTGGATCAGTTTCCATCATTTGAAGCATTGTATCATTGAGTTTAGGCACTACTAGCTTTTCTGCACTGCTTTTCCTCATTCTACGTTGACGCTTTGAGCTACGAACACCTTCTCTCGAATCTTGAGCTTCGAGTGATCGGTCCTTTTCACTGTCCTCCGGTTGTGCCATGCCTAATTGGCACAAGAGCTTCAGCAGACAAGCTAAACAATCTTGTTGCCACTCACTGCCATCTCCCCCTGACCTTTGCAGCACACCAGACATGAAGATATCAAATAGATGTCTAAGACCACCATGTTTGACAAACACTTGGCTCCAAGACAGGCCATTAGTGCCTTTAGAACTAACTGACACATCACCATCCCCTCCGATATTGTTTAGTCTGTGACTGCTTTTTGGACCTGAATTAGATACTCCTGCAGGTCTGCTTAAACTTTCTACAATATAGAGAGAGTACATCAGCTTTTGTGGACTGCTAGGGTCAAGCAAAGTTTCAAGTGAAGGCCTATCTCCTGATTTTTCATCATCACACACTTCTCCGAATGATTCAAAACCTCGCATGAGTGTGGGACTAGTGGGCAAAAGTGTAAGTATATCCCACACTCTCCTTGACAACACTTGTGCTTTGGTGTGAGGTATCTGCTTTCCTCCTTTTACTGGTGTCTTCATACTACTCAAAGTCTGCATCAGCGTGAACAAGTGTTCAAAATATTGAGGCTGAAGAAGCAGTAATGTTGGTAAGCATTCTCTAGGTGGAGGTGGAAGAACAGAGGGAGAGTCCACTGAATCTCTCTTTTTCTGAGGTCTTGAAGCACCCATAGATATGTAAACCATTTGTTCATTTTTAAACCCCATTTCTTGCAGAGTTTTCTCATCAAAATCTGTTATGAGTTCTTGACCTTGGGTTATCATTCGGAGAGGCCCTTCGGATAACAGAGTACCTAAGGCAGGAGATGGCTGAATGGACTCCCACCATTTTGCCACTTCCGCTCGCAGATCTGCTATGAAGTCACTTGAGAGTAGTTCAAATATAACTTTTTCATTCATCCCTGCAGGCTGGACTGCAACTTTCAAAGTCTGACAACCTCTTTCCCCACTCAGAAGCTGGACATGACTTCCAACTCCTCTGCCTTCTAAGGCCCAACGACGAAGGTGGTAAGCATATCGCTTTCTGAAAGTTTCGAGATGCGTCTTTAAAAGCAAAAGAGCTCGCTGAATGCAGAGAAGGCTTGCTTCTTCAGCCAAGGCTAAATCCGTTGTCGCTGCAACTAGATGTGCCATGCACTGGGACACAAATTCACATTCTTGTTCTAGCTGTCTCCCCATATAATAACTGTTGAGGTACTGTATGGCAGCCATACTAACATCAGTATTATTAGCTCGTAGAGCTATCTTCCACAGATACTCCATACCAATAGGTTCAGAATCAAAATGTTGTGCTGCCATCCGGGCCATGTTACATAACTGCTGGTACAAACTTAAAGCTGTCATGCTTATGGTTTCAGCTGGCAATGAAGGAAGCTTCCTCAAATACAAATGTTTGAGAGACTCAGTACTGAGAGCATGTAAGTCTTTGCTTTTGGCCTGCCTGAGCAGCCATGCAAAGAGCTCATCTGAGCACTGTTCATCCGTTGCCAAACACTTCCAAAGTACATCAAGCTGATTAACTGACAGCCTAGAAACAAAATAAAAGGTGATGAATAAAAAAATCTAAAAGATAAAAGATCAGAAAGATACTCAGTGGAAAACTCAAGTTCATCTCACCTAAAATGCATGGGAGATCCATGAGGAGAAAACAGAGATGTCAGAAACTGAAGGCGGACTTGCACTTGAACTTGGTGAGAATAGAGTGTGTCTGTGTAACCTTCTTTTTGACATTGTGTAGTATAATGTTCAAGATTTGCTAAGAAATGATCCATCATATTGTGCTCTTGTTCAGCCCACATAGCAACTTGGTGTGTATCCATGTTCCTCACATGTTGAAAAGATGTCAAAAGCTTAGGTAGCATACGCAAAGATACTACCACTGACCTGTTGAATTTTATTTTTAAAAAAAATTAGAAACCTATCATGGATTAATACAAGGCTTTTCACATAACACTTCTATCACACTACTTACCAATTGTTTGCAATATTCTGTAAGCAACCTTCTATGAACTTCATTCGAATTAATCTCTCAGTGTTGAAACACAGAAGGTTCGATAAGGCTTTCTCAGCTTCTATTGCAAGACCTTCGCCCAGTTGGCCAATTTTATCATCTTGAAGTAAGTCCCAAAGTAAGGTGCTTCCTGGCTTGCAAACACACTCCATATCAAATTGAGAGCGCAATCTTTGATCCCTCGTCCCATCACGTAGACTTAGCCGATGGCAAAGCTTTGGGCTATGTTGGCTAAAGCACTGAATACCCATTTGCTGAAGCTACAGTAACAAATGTACACATTAGTAGAGACAATAAGCTTGATGAAGTCATAGGTAGCTGCAAACTATAACTCACATGATGAGCTCGAGCTGCCAATTGAGCTATTTCCTCATCACAGTTTGACTCCTCTCCCTCAAAGTCAGCAAGATTTTTCTCTGATTTGTTGCTCATTCGGGAGGAATAGCTTCCTTCAGGCTCACTAAGCAAATCATCCATCATATCCCTGTAGAACCAAATTTTATTAGTAGGAAATATATTAGATGTATTTTGTGTTAAGATAGTGGGGGTTGCAACCAAATCCATAATGTTTGACTAAAACAGCAAATTAACATATTAATAACTAGGTCTTAACAAGCAACTTATTCAACTGAAAACACATCATTCAAAAGTGAAGAAATCACACAAATCCCAGAAATCCCCTCAAACTTAACTTTGCTTTTGTGTATTACACAAAACATGAAATTTTGAACAAAAATCAATTGATGGAATAAATAACAATAATAGGTGTGGTGTGCATGCAACATACAATGCTTCACTTCAGATTGCTGCAGATACTTACAGGGGTCTAGCAGAATAGTGCCAGGTGGGCAAGCATCCAGCCAGGCTGCAGTGCAAGGACACCAACACCATAAGCATGAACCCAA